ATTAGTTTTAGTCACATTTTAGTCATTTCTATATGTGATAGTTTTAGTCCAGTTTTAGTCGATGAAAACTCAAAAAAGGTTTTCGTAAAAAATAATAAAGTATTAGTCTTTTAATAAACTAATTTCTGTCAATAAGTATTGGAAATTGGAATTAATGTTGACAAGTATTGCAATTCATAAAACAACAGTTAACCTTAACGCTTTTGCATAATAACCAGATTCCTTACCAGCAGATTTAGTTCAACACATCGCAACACATTGTGAGCTTGTAGATTGGCTATTTTCACCAAAAATTACAATAATAAAGGAATGGTTTTAGACATACAAGGTTTCCACCCAACAGCAAATACTTTCTGATCTACTAAGGATTATGTATTACACACAGATCAATCAATCTTCATTACTCCAAAAAAGCCAAGAACAAAAACATTCTTACTTTGGCAACTGTGGTTTTATTTCTGAGAATTTGCTAAAGGGCAATGAACATACACATGCCCAAAATATGAGCAATGGATGAGGAACACATATGCTCAACTTGACCTTGTCTGCCAGTGCAATTAAGATGCATATTATTTATAACACCATATAACCCCAGTCTATCTTTAACATGTGCAAACTTTCTAAAACAACATAATAAAAAAAAATGTAATCCCTGAGGTACAGTGAGGTAAGTTATGCACACTTGAAAGTATGAAACAAACATGACACTTGAACTTTTGGAACATAAAAAGAATTAGACAACCGCTGAAAATTGTACATACTGTAAACATGAGCAACTTGAATTAGAGGGCGGGGGGCTAACCCGAGTGCAGTCTCACAGCAACATAAAACAATCAGAGGGGTACCCCTAGTGCAGTCTCACAACAAGTACAAACAGAATATCACAGGAACATATCTGTATCTGCACTAATAATAGTAACAGCTTCCTGTTAGCAAAATTAGCCTACCGACCTCGATTGAGTTTGAGGAAAGCGCTTCTCTCTAAAATGACTCTTGCTCTATTTCGACGGCCACGACTGAGGTCACCTGTAACGCTAAAGACTCTCTCAGCAAATGCTTGAGATGCTGGCATGGCCAGAAGATCTAAAGCGATAGGTTTTAGGCTTGGATAAAGAGAATCTGCCTGTGCTACCGAAAATTCAAGGGCAATCTCTTGGTTTGTACGCTGTGATAGCTGCTCCTTGAATTTCTTCATTTCCTCCTTGACACACGGCTTTGCGATGGCCGACTTGCTTTTGACAAGAATTTGAATCTGGGCCGCTTTCTCTGTGGTCCCTCTTTGGATTCTTCTTCTTCTCCCTTCTCTGGCTCCTCATCTTCAGCCTCGTCCTCCTGTACTACTGGTGACACCAATTGAGCAATGTAATCTTCTGCTTTTCCCAGAAGCGCCTCAATTTGCTCGTCATCGTTTTCAAGGAGTGCTTCAAGTGCAACTGTCGGGCCGAGGAAGCATGCAGCAGCAGTGAGGGGTGAAAACTTAGAGTCAGTGTGATCAAGAAAGCAACTGAACCGCTTGTCCATGTTTGCCTTCATCTTCTTTGCCAGGGAAGCTAGGTCCTTGAAGCTAGAACCCTGGGCATGGGGGAACTCAGACAGGTGACCCTGCAGGTCCAGAAGGGCAGGCACCACAAGGGATAAAGACTGTGTGTCACTCTGGAGCATCTGGGTATGCTCAGCAAAAGGGAGGAGTAAATCTCTTAGAGCAGTCAGCCTCTGCCACTCACTTGGCAGTAGATAGTCCCAGCTCATCTCATCCGCGACGTGATCTACTGAGTCCTTGATTTGGAGAAGCCGTGATATCATCAGAAATGTGCTGGACCATCTAGTAGGGCAGTCTTTGACCAGAATTAGTTGACACAGCTGCAGGAGTCGCTCAGTTGCCACCGATGACTTGCGGAAGAGGTTGACAAGCACTCTAACTTTGCTCAGCAGTCGGTTGACACTTGCATCTTTCTGGATTATGTTCACCACAAGTTGCAGTGTGTGTACCACACAGGGGGTCCTATCTATGGCTTCAAACCTAGATAGATAAGCCAAAAACACAGAGAAAAAGAAAGACTTTATCAATCTTATATAGGAAATTCAATGAAATTCAGATGAACAATTGCTAAAAGTGACTATAACTTAGCATAGCTCAATGTGACTTACATACTGAAAATGTTAATTTACAGCAAACTGAAATAATCTACCTTTTGTCTTCTCTAACCACCTCAGATTCTTCGGTGTCACTTGTCTCAATGGATTCATCCTCGGAGCTAGTAGGATCATCCGGTTCATTAGCTTTGAACGCTGCAACCATGTTGCTTCCATTATCAGTTATGACTGTCAGAATTTTGTGTTGTGGTATTCCCCAGTCGTCTGTGCATCGGTCAACACAGGTTTTTATACACTCTGCAGTGTGTGGGTGGGTGATCTGGTCAAGTCTCAACAATATGTGCTGTGCTTTGTTTTCCACAGTGCAAAAAAAGCATGCACTAATTGCCAGAAATGCTGCTGTAAGTCCTTTTTTGGTCCATATGTCCAGCCCAATTGTTATTTTGCGTGCTGTGGCAAGCCTCTCTTTGTACTTTTGTTTTTCGTCATCATAAATCTTGTCAACTAAGTTGTTTATTTTTGTTCTTTTGGGTATGGTCAGCCTCTTGTCAAAGGTCTCCATCATGAGGATGAAATCTTCATCCTCAACTGTGCAAGCAGGTAGACCAGTACGTCCAATCCAAAGAGCAATTGCCTGTTCTTTGGCACGTTGTTCCAACGAGTCTGACTTATATTTGGATCCTGTGGCAAAGGCTGCTGGGATAGATGACTGTGCCCTGTCATTCTTTGGACCACCAGGTTTCTCTTTAGGAGTTCTGNCAACTGTTCTTATGATTGTGGATTGATAATCAGCTCATCATAAGTTGTCTACTGCCATCCATGTTTGCTTTTATGTCTGAATTTTATTGCTCTGTGATATTTGATCTCTATTGAATGATGAATTTGTAACCAAGAACCAACCGAGAACTCATTGTATCTTCTTTATTTGTTTCTCAGGCAGTGGGAGGATCTGCGGGGAGTACGCGTGGTATACACACCTTTCTTTGCATGCAGTGTGGTAGGTCTGAAGTGTGGTGAGCACCTAAACTAGTTTTTAGATTTACCTCAGTCTGCAGTGTTTGTTACAGTGCTTTGCAGTGATCACGGTGTGCACGTGGTGAGTGAGATTGGGTTTTGCAATAGCATCTCCCCGCGGTGAATACCCTGTCTGATACCTTTTTATATATCTTGTAACCAGTTGGTTCAGTTGCATTTTATTAGGGTCCGAGGACCCCTACTTGCTGCAGCAAGCAGGGGTCCTTGCCCTGCTGTTCCTGCTGCGTTTCTTTCTTCTTCTTATTTTCCTGACCAACGCGTTTGCCTTAATTTGAATCCCTAAACATGCTCAAAAACTCACCAAAATTGGCACGCACCTCCGAATCAGTGAAAAGTTTGATAAAATGAAAAAAAAAGAACAAAAATGCTCTCTAGCGCCGCCTGGTTACAGAAAAACACACTAAAATGGCCCTAGCGGCCAGTAGGAATGTCGTACAGAGATCAAACCAACACCAAAACGTTCGTCTCAATGAGACCCACAAATCTCGCACTGACACCCCCAGTGTTGTTTTTGGCAGCCATCTTAGTTTTAGTCTTAGTTTTAGTCTTTTGGACGAAAATGCTGATTAGTTTTAGTCACATTTTAGTCATTTCTATATGTGATAGTTTTAGTCNACTATACTAACTATACTATTTTGATTACAAAATTGTCAGAGAATGTCCTGTGAGTGCTTGTGCCCATTTTTTCAGAAGAAACTTTCAATATCTGGCAATTTACTGCCTGTTATCAATGTAATGACGGTTTAAAGTGAAGAAAAACACAAAAACGGAATTTGATTTTAGTGTTGTAGTGGGAAAAAAAATGAAATTCAGCATGAATGATATTACTGTAATAATACCACATTGGCTGTAAAAGCGGAACACCTCAGCTTTCAGAAACCGTTGGATTTTTTCCCAATAGCTCAAAGTGTGCTTTCCCAAACATGTCACTGATATCACCTCTGACCATGATGTGCAATATTTTTCTAAATCTTACTGTACATATAACCTATACTGTAGACTGTATATATAACTTATTTTATTTTTTTATACTTAAATCTCTTCTATTTTTAAAATTTTTTTGCTCTTTATTTTGTACTTTGTTATATATGGCACTGAAGGAGCTGCTCTCAATCTCATTGTACTTGTGTATAGTGACAATAAAGGCATTCTATTCTATGACAGACGAGGCCTTAATGACTGGCATGGTTGGGGCTGCATGATGTCACTGACATACCCTTATGGCCTAAAGCTAGCAGACTCTATGCATGATAACAAACTCCACCTGTTTAACACATGGCAACGTGCTGACAGAACATAAACACACAAAGAGATGGCCACACCATCACAGAGTGTTAGCTGAACATGCTGCTAACATTACAGAAGGCATTTAGACACATGGGGAACAGCAACAGTTTTTAATGTTTCAGCATTTACACTTGCTGCCAAAGATCCCACAGACAACAGTAACACACACATAAGCTAGTGGATTGACGTTAGCATAACCAAGCTAATTTTAGCCTGAAGTTAGCAGCCGATTTGCGCCATAAAGTATGTGGAAAACTTTAGGCTTACTATGAAATTTATCACAAGCCGATTGTCAAGTACCATTGCATGTATATGACATGTTAACAGGACTTGTTGTAACTTACCTTCGAAAGAACATCAGCACGGTGAGCCTTGAGATTGCTGGTATTCTTTCCACCTAGTGTATGGCCACATGTCTCCCTCCCACAATGCATTCTGTTTTTCTTTCTGATGCATGATATTCAAAGTATGTCCATCGGTCATTTCCGACCACCGAGCCCCTGTTGTTGTTGACGCTGCTGCCATGGTCCACCTGTGCGCTGTGCAGAAGGTGCGCTGCACGCCACGTGGTGGGCGTGGCCAAACAGATAGGACGCAGCAGCAGCATGGCACGTGACACTGTTTAGTTTTCCACTGACAGATGACAGCACAATAGGCAGAAATGTCATGCATTTTAAACGTCTGACAGACACAACTCGTCATGTTTTCGTCATCAAAGATCCATGTTTAGCTGGTCACCGTTTCGTTATCGTCATGAAAAAAAAAACAAAATAATTTCGTCATCGTTAACGAAAACAACACTGTGTTTGCACAAGAACTGCTGTTACACTCGTCTGATTCTTCACTGCTGTGGAGATGAAATCAGAGTTTCAGTGAATGAACTCCCACCACCAAGCAACACCTACTTCAGTTGTGAATGCAACAAATAATAATTAATAATAACTGAGTTTTGCCTTGCAGCTAGAGGGACGGTTTGTTAGAGGATGTTGGTACCAACACACAACCTTTTGCAAATCCCGGAAAGTTATTTTAATACTACTACATACTACTACTAATAACAATAATAATGCAAGTAATTTAATTGTGTTGCTCCTTTAATGCAGCTCAGAGTGATAAAAAATGAAATTCAATTCAAAATAAAGACAAGAATAAATGAATACTACATAAAAGTATAAAGAGCAAATATTAAGGTAGCTGAAAAACAGGTTAAAAGTATACCAGGTATATTATAGTAGGTGGAGCTAGAAGGAGTGGAGGTTATAAAATATGCTTCTCAGTGCAGTGAGCCTCTGTTTTGTCTTATGTCTGTAACTTCTGGCTTATAAACCGTTTTACAAATCGTTGGCATCATGAATCCTTTTCGTTTCTGCGTGTTGTAACAGACGAGGCCAATCTCTTCATGTGATCTCAGCTGTGACTGAAACAACTTCTGGTTTATCAGAGCTCATGAGTAAGCAGCTCCGCTTGGCTGATATCATCTGAGATGCTTGTCTGTCCTCACTTGACACTCCCTGACTCACTGTGGTTAGTTATCTTCAGCCAACTAGAACTAAACTGTCTTGTGTTATTACACAGTGCCAGGTTGGGAAACACAACCACCCACCTCCTCTACGTGTCTGTTTCAGTATATCTATGACTCTACGCCGTCTAGTCCAGGAATAGCTTTGCCAATTTCTTGAAGTGAAAATGGTCTGCTGTCCTCCAAATGATCTCACTGTTCAGAGCCGTGGTGCCGCTAGTCCTTTATACCCCTTTTATTTCCTTTTCCCCCTCTGGAGACGCCTCTGGGTCTGTGGACATGGAGCAGGTGGAGGTGTGTTCTGGGGGCTCCGTCGTGCTCCCCTGTCTGCCCCCTCCTGGGGAAGGCTCGGCCGTGGAGGGGGTGAGTCTGAAGAGGCAGAGGGCCGGGGCCCCTGTGGAGGTCTTGTACCACTCGAAGCGGCACCACAGCAGCAGCAGCGGGTCTCAGTTCTCTGCTGACAGGGTCCAGTTGTCCACAGCGCCGGACCCCAGCGGCATCACCTACCAGCTGACCCTGCAGCAGCTCCAGCCGGACGACAGCGCCCTCTACAGCTGCCAGCTGCTCCTGCGGGGCAGGCCTGACAGCAGCACCAGTCTGGGGAGGCGAGTGTTTGTTGTGTCCGTGCAAGGTGGGTCAACCGCACAGCAGGACTCGGTCATCGTGTGACGTCAGCCGACTTCTGTTTTTAACTTTCTGAATCAATAAAAATGCACTTTGTTTTTCATACTAACTTGCTCTGTTGACACACTTTTGTTTCCTGTTTTTGTTTTGCATCGTTGATTGGGTGACCGTCACCGCTGATAACATCTATGAACAAAACTGCCACTAATCCTTGTTGCAGGCTTTGAAACACAAAAAGGGAGTTTGCTCAACCTGCTAGTGCGTCTGTAGGTTTGTGCACAGCTGATACCATCACAAAACAGACATCAGGAACAGATCAAATGAACACTGTGTTTAAATTCTGTCTATGAGACGGTCAGCTGATCAGAACAGCCCATTTTTGTGATTCACTGCCTTTAATGTTCATAAGAAGTTGAGGTGGTGGTCGATGTTGTGCGAGTTACACTCTTTGATTTAAACATGGGCTTTAAAATGTTTTTGTTTGTTAATGTACGCGAAGATCACATGATTATAAATTTGTGTTTAGTGATTTTCTAAGTTTTTACTTTTGTCAACAAATCCTGAGAATGAGTTGGTCCTGATAGCCACAGACTGATGAAACCCATTTCTTCATTAGCATCAACTTGAAAGACATCATCCTGCTGCTGTAAACGCTCATTAGTGCATTTATACGAACCCATGAGGGAAATAGAAGAAATTCACAATAATATACTCAAGGAACAAACTGAGCCTTGTTAAAAAATGAAATAAAAAACAAATATTGGGACAAATTTTTTAAGTAGGTGCAGAAACAAATCAAACTCTATTCATTTTTCCGCAAATTTTACAGTTTTCTGTTACTTCCTGGCTGTTTATGCCACTTAGAAACCATAACTCTATCAGTCTTTTTCTACATTTTCCTCCTTAAATCCATCAGCTTTTGTGTTTTAATTTTTGTGTTTTTAAGAAATTACGCATCCATTTGGAGAAAATGGGCTCTTAAGTGTCAGAAAATCACTTTATCTATTTTGCTCTCTTTGGATTTGTTGACAGAAAACATCTAGAATCACCCATTTGTTCTCATGTCATTATTGCATTCTTGTATTTAAGGCGTCACCGCGCTGTCGAGCTTCTACTTTCATGTGTTCATGACGTTTGTCTGCTTGTTTCTGAGCGGTTCGACGTGTTTTCACCGAATAGCTGCTTGTCCCCTCAGAATAATATTTTCTTCAGCCCTAAAAGTAGGAAGGAAGTGTGTCTCAGTGGTTTGTGCTGCTGCGCTGAACACCCTGTGCTGTTTTTGTGTCGGTATATTGAGGTCAGGTGACTAAATAAACGGATTAGTCGAGCAGTTTGGTGTCAGTGTGGTTCCTCTGGGTTCCACGTTAGTGTTTCTTACATTTCTGCCTCTCCCTGTGCTTCCCCCCTTTGCAGGTGATGAGTGCGGCTGCCCCGGCTACTCCTCCCTGCTGTACGCTCTGGCCTCGGCCGTGGTCGTCCTCCTCCTCGTGCTCCTCGTGGCCTTCGTGGTGATTTGTAAAGTGAGTGTGTAACGACCCAAGGAGGGGAGGATGTAGGGCAGAAACATCACCACCTGCCTGTTGAGAGCGTGCCAGAAAGTTCCTCTGCAGCTCACCACAAAACCGCACCAGTTTCGTAACTTTTTCGCTGCATGTTTTTGTCAAAGTTTAGTGAAGAAGGCAGTGAAACCCCGATTGTTCTGTTTCTTTGTTTAACAGAAGTTCACACTAGCCTCCACTACACATCTTGTTTCACGTCTCAGTGAGGTTTAAGGCTTTATCAGGACTTCCCGTTCAGGATGCCGTCTTGAGACCAAATCAAAAACTTTGATTTTAACACAGGAAATCGAGAGTATGTGTTAAATCTGTTTGTTCCCCTCCACTGATTTGTTTTTCCTCTCGTCTCGGTGACTGTCAGGGCAAAGCACGCCGCGGTGTCAAGTCACGCCCTCAGGCGCCCATCTACGAGGAGATGACTGGGGTGCAGCCTCTCAACCGCAAGGCAGCTTCTCGGCAGCTGGAGGACGCGGAGCCCTCAGAGTACAGGAACTGCCCCGTGAAGAAATCCTGCCCTGAGAACTATTATGAAAGCCCCACTGGGGCCCTGAGCCCCAAGAGAGAGTCTTAGAGAGGAAACGTCGGCCTCCACCTGTCAAGCATCACGATGACTTCTCAACTTAACTTCCTCCAAGTGTCAAGTTAGCATTCAGGACTTTCTTTAGCTTGTTTTTATTTTTTATTAGCTGTGGGTTTTCTTTTTAATCTCATGTGTATTGATTGCTTTAAGAGGGTTGTTCCATCTGAAAACCACAAATTTTTAGTGATTTCTGCTCAACCAGCTCTGATTTGACTGAAGGTTTTATAGAATAAAATGTGAATGATTAAAACCATTTTTGTGACATGTTTAGCTTGATATATCAAACACTTACTGAAGTAAAATTGTACAAAAAAAATTCACATTAACTTATTTTCAAAGGTTGAAATCTGAGGCTGTGATTGGATGACGGCATCTCAGGAAGCAGTGCAGATAAAGTCCTGAGGTTTTCACTGTTTCTTCTCAACACACCATAGATTCAAATTCTGCAATATTAGACAAGTAAACGTAATCACCTCTGATTGTGGGTAAGATAAAGTCACGACAAGTTGCCTCCTTGAGCACAAATAACAAACAGCTGTTGATGCAGAAGTCGACTGGCGACATCTTTTGAACCACATAAAGCTGAATCTCACGATCACACAAAACATATAGAAAACTTTGTAATATGAAATTATTGAAAGTTATTTTCATTAAACTGTCATGGCTGACTGAGCAGGTATGAGAAGCAAAAACATTGCTAGACGGCCTGATCGATGGAGAACAGAGCTCTTGGTTCTCGAAATACAACCAAGAAAATGATTACAATGTGGGTGTAGTTTTGTTTGAGAAGTAACGGTGACAGTTTTGTTTAAAGTCCCTAAAATATTGTCGTTTAAACAGCCTCTGAATGAGCAAAAAATGCCCTGAAAGTGGGTTGATGGCCACTTTAAAAAAAAGTATCTCAGAAAGTGTCTGATATATCAATTT